AGGGAGAAGGGGGAGCCCCAGACCTCCCACGCCGGCTATCCACCCATCAGTTCTGAGGCTGGATGTCAAAACACGCGAAAAACCGCCGACCGGAGGGAGGGAGGGAGGGTTGCCGGGTAGCCTCCGGGTCTCACCCAGAAAATGGCATTTCATTACATTCAACGCTGGTTTTCTGGGGGGAGCCCCATCGGCTCCCCGGAGCTAACTACCACAGAGGAAGGTCAAAGGGACAGAACCGGGAGGCGGACACCACGCACCCCCCAAGGAGGCGAGACAACCGGCAGCAAACGCCAACCCAAGGGGCCACAGCCCCGAAAAGTCCTGGGAACAACACGAGAACAACGAGCAGCAAGGCCCCAGCACGAACACCAAAAATCCATGCCAGAAAGACCGCAAGGCCACGTCGCCCAGACGCAGCGAAGCCACGAACGCCAAAGGCATGAAGGAAGAACACAGGCAGCTTAGCCGCAAGAACACGGCTGACCACCCGGGACACTATCACCCGCGAACTGGGAAGAACAGAACCGGATCAACGCAAAACGCACTCAGGACCCAAACGCCGTGGCATGCAAACAACAGCGGAGGGCCGCCACTGAACACAAAACGACACACCCTCGGCCCAACCAACGAAGCACCAACAAACCCTGGACCCCTCCAGAACGCAGCAGCCCCACCTCGCGCCAGAAAAGATGGAGACTGCTGCCGCCGAACAACCAAAATGCTAAAACCGAAGGAGCAAGAAAACTCAGCGACTCGACCCCCAGAGGCAAAGGCCAAAAGGAAAGAGCCGACGAAAAAACACACCGGAACCGAAGGGGCACTACCAATTGAGGAGAAGACAGAGCACGCTGACCAGAGACCAGGATGGTGCAAGCGGCGCACGAACAGGCCGGAGGTGAAACGACGCACAAGACAGCTGACTAACGGTGCAGAAGCAACACCAATACCAAAAGCAAGCTGAAGCGGCTCCGCCCGCGCTGCACGAAAAGAGGCGACAGTATGTGGCAAGTCGACGGCCAACCGGAGGCGAGACCGCGAGGCAGAACATCAGCCCCAACATGCCCCTCCGAGCCCAGGAAAAGGCGGAGCCGCGGGAAGATCTCGGGCGCGACCACCGAAACCCAGGCGGCACAAGGAGATGGAACGTCTGCCGAACAGAAAAACTTCCCAAAGCATGCAAGCCCACCAGGAGTTCAGAAACGACGGGTCCGACGCGAGACATCGCAAGACCCCCCAAAAAAAAAAAAAAAAAAATGGCAGGGCAAGCTAGGAAACTAAAGAAGGCGGAAGGGTCGCCGCCAGAACAGTACCCGAACCAAGGGGTACGAACAACTGCAATAGACCGAGACAAAGAAGCACATCACAGGACACAGGCTGACAAACGCCTAACACACGCAGAACACCCCTGCTGCAGAGGAGGCAGGAAGAAAGAGCAGAAGCACAAAAACCCCAGGATAACAACCAGGGGTGGACAATCAGGCAGGGACAGAAAAACCCCCACGCAATCCCCAGGCACAAAACGGCAGCAAAGTGCCACTCCACAACTGGACACAGGAACCAGGACACGCCACCGTGAAACACGGTACCAATGCTCACGTGCAGCAGCAGCAACAGGCACCACTGCAACATGCAACATGAAAATAGCAACTCCCTTCTGCAAAGACAGAGAACGGAGCAAGCAGACCCCAGACAGGGCCAACGGAGACACGACAAAACCCCGCAAGCCCAGAAACCTGCACCAGGCGACCGACGGCGGAGAAACCCCGCTCGATACCTGCTGGATGAGGTACTGGGAGCTCTTTTACACCTCAAGCCCGGCCCAAGGCCAGGCTAGACCGGCCAGAGGGTGGCCCACCAGGCAGCTGCTAGGAGCAGTCCACCGGCCCACATACCCCCACAACCAGGACGGGCCGGAACTGCCATACGAAAACAGGCTAGTGTGACCCTAGAAGTCCACGGACGAACCAGCAAGAAGGCTTATGCTCGCAAGTAGGTCGTGTAACAAGCACAGACCTCTGATGGTAATACAGTGGTCCCCAAATGTGCCAATAGCACCACTGCACTCCACTGATACTATCCCACAAGTTCTACCAGATAGGCGGGACCCAAGAGCCAGAGCTCAAATAGTGCAAACACAGCCAGGAGCCTGACCAGGTGAGTACAGAACCAACCCTACAACCCCCACACCTCACAACATTAAAAATGGAGGGTCCCCTGAATGACTCCAGCATGGGTTGGACATGCACATGAGGGGGACAGGAAGGGTTGAAAATGGCAGTCACTGGTGTGCGAACGGTCTCAGTCGTACAAAAATATACCTAAATAAAGACAGGTATATAAACAACTCCGCATCCAGCGCCCAGCCAAAAGACGCCAGACCGCAGAAACTCACCTGGCGAACGGTGGCACGAACTTGACACGACTCAACCGTGCCCAAAAGAACCTGGGAGCACCGCCAGGTGAAGACGCCAGAGCCGGACCCTGCCGGACCCGCAGGAGAGCAGGAAGAGGCGAAGGAGGAGGTCCACACCCATGACACAGGGAAAACCGCTGTGTCCTCCCCACAACTGGGAACCAGGACACCCCCGGCGCAAAGGGGCACATACCGCAGCCAGGGAGAAGAACGAGAGGAGAAGCACTGTAGCAAAAAGAGCGCAAAACACCAGCACTGAAACACCGCCCAGACCAAAACAAACTCCACGGCGCATGCGCATAACACGCTGGCCGAACCGCACACCCTCTCTGCAGGAAGGCGCCAGCCAGGACTACTGCACAAGAAAAGCAGCCAAAAGAGGAAGCAGGAACAATAAAACCGGCCAAAGAAGCAGAGCCCAAAAAGGAACCCAACCGGGCGACAAGTAGCCCAACCGGGCGACAAGTAGCCCAACCGGGCGACAAATAGCCCAACCGCGCGACAAGTAGCCCAACAGGGCGACAAGGACGAGGAGCCGGCAGACATTCCAATAATGCGGGAAGTAGCGAAAAACCTTCCCGTACCCTCGAGAACACAGAAGCCAACACTAGTCCCGAAGGCAAACGAAGGCGCAGGCGCACCCGAGATCGAAGTCACGCAGAACCCCATCGAACGGGGAAACATGATGAAAACACCATCCCAAAAAGGGGTGGGAGGAAACATCCACCCACAGGACGGAACCAACCGACTCAAAGGCCAAGGAACCGAGCCCGGGGAGGGGCCGACGCTCAACAGTACGTACGGCGAGTGGGGAGGAAAGACCCCACTCCGCGTAACCACAAGCCCCGCCTAGAAGGGGATAAAAACCCCCACGGGGTCCAACGGGGCCAAGGCCCCCCAAGCCAGCCCCTCCCCAGCCCCGGGAACCTACACGACAGGCCCGGGGCCGAGCCGTTCCCCCAAAGCCCCGGCCGTACCAGAAAACCGGGGCAGCCGTGAAAACATTAAGGAAGGGAACCCACTAGCAGACTAATTCAACACGGCTGGAGGAACAGGCTCAAATGCCCCCGTCACTACCCCGGAAGGGGAATTCCCCGAGACTGCCCAAGTCTCAACACCATCAAAAACCCCGCCCCGAACCTACCGACGGTAAGGAACCAGATGCAGGCAGGAAGGGTGATCCAGGGTTAAGACAAGGGGGCGTGGATGGAACTGAAGCAACCAACACCCCCAAGTCCCAAAACGAACTACAACGGGGCAGCCCCGGGGCTCCCGGGGAGGAAACCACGAGAACGTTGCCACCACCAAGGCTCAAGTGCAACGCCCCTGCTGCCCGCACCCGCTTTGGTAGCACAACTGGGTAACCGAGCCACAACGAGCAACCAAACTCGCAGGACTCCGGGTCGAAGGTGTCACCGACCCCACAGGCAGTAGACGGAGGCAAAACAGAGAGCCACCCAGAGACAAAGGGTGAGAGCAACCCTCAAACTCGCTGGAAGCGAGGGGGGGACTCTGGGGTCACATCCATCGGACCTGCGCGCCCCCAGGGGTTTCCCAGGGTCCCGAGCGTTTACTATAAGAGGACTCGCGCTCAGGTAATCCCAGGCAGGGTACTGCTAGCCGGCACCCAAAGCTACCAAACAACTTTCCAAGAGCTGAACCCCCGGGACGTGTACACTCACGGGGACCTAGTAGGGGGTACCACCAGAAAATACTCAGAACACAAGGGACACAAGGGGCAAGAACGAAGGCAGACCCCCCCCCCCACCAGGTAGATAAACAAAAAGAAAAAGAAAACCCCGCAAGAGGACAGCGTACCCAAGCGGAACAGAGCCGGCCGCTATGATTGGTAAAGACAAGCTGCACAGTACCCTGTGCCCCACCAGTGCAAAAACTGCCCCTTACTCTAAGGCGAACAAGGGAGACAGAACACCCGAGCACACAAAGAGCGGCCGAAAACCAAGCAGTAAACGGCCAAGCAGGGGCAGGACCCAAGGAACTTGTGGAAGGTGGCCCCAAGGGCAGTACTTGCAGGGCACCTAGGGAAGGGAACCCTAGGCGCATGCAGCCCGAGTACTGGAGAATCATTCCCAGCTCATGCACCACCTAGAAAACAGACACCACACTCTAGGTACAGTGCTGAAACAACCACTGGAGCCGGAGCACATAACTGTTGCCTATAGCATCAGCCGAAGAACTGATGGGTGGATAGCCGGCATGGGAGGTCTGGGGCTTCCCCTTCCCCCTCCCGGGAAGGGGGGGAGCTGCGCAGACAGCGGCGCGGCGCGGTGACGTATGACGTCATACTAGTTTCCTTGTTTTCTGTTGAAGAGTTCTATCCACTAGTTCGGCTTTAGGTAGCAATTTTCACCAGAATAGAAGTTTGTTTTGGAATGCTTACCTTTCTGGATGCTTGACCCGGTCGATGGCAGACGTAGAATGCTTCCAACCACACGGGGGTTTCTATAGGCCATTGCTCCCCTTGCCTCTCTGAGGGGGCCAGGTTCTGGCTGTGGTCCCCGGTAGGCCCTAGAACTCCATACATATGACTGATGCCAAAGTCTGACATTAGCATATCAGCCGGTAAAGCTCCGGGGAGCCGACGGGGCTCCCCCCAGAAAAGATTATTAATATGTACAACCTTTTTTTCACCATACTGTTTTATTCACCATTTTTCTATAATTTAAGGCCTCTCCATTCTATGAAAGTGAGAAATTAGATAATGAAAGTCATTGAGTAGATAGATAATGAGGTACAGGAAATGCTCTCAGCAAAGGGCTATGCATTGCTTACTTTCTGTCATAAACCCTAAAATGGATTGCTACAGAGTATCGATATTCGATTATAGACCAACTCTTAAATTTTCCCTTTTGCATTAACTGAATTGAAATACTGGATTAAATTAGTTTTAAATATTTCAACACTTCTGATCATCAATATAGTGTTTCTTTTGGGTGAACTTTCATATGTTTTACCAAAGTTGATTTATATGAAAAGGATTTTGCACATTCCATGCATTGATATGGTTTCTCCCCTGTATGAAGCCTGACATGTTGCACCAGATGAATTTTTTGCGCAAAGTTTTTTGGACACTCTGAGCACTGATAGGGTTTCTCTCCAGTATGAACCCTCATATGTTTATCTAGATCAGATTTTCGTGAAAAGGTTTTCACACACTCTATACAATTATATGGTTTCTCACCAGTATGAATCATCATATGCTTTACTAAATCAGGCTTACGTGAAAAATATTTTAAACATTCTGAGCACTGATATGGTTTGTCTCCTGAATGCACTGCCACATGACTTACTAGGTGGGATTTTAATGAAAATTCTTTTCCACATACTGGACACTGATGTGGTTTCTCTCCTGAATGAGCTTTCATGTGTGCTGCTAAATTTGATTTTCGTTTAAACTCAGTCAGACACTCCGGACAATGGTATGGTTTGTCCTCTGTATGACATTTCATATGACTTGTTAGATGTGTTTTTAATGAAAAAGCTTTCTCACATAATGAACACCCATAAGGTTTCTCTCCTGAATGAATTGTCATATGTACAGTTAGATTTGACTTTACTCTAAATTTTTTTAGACATACTAGACACTGAAATGGTTTTTTTCCTGAATGAACTACTTTATGTTTTGTTAAAAGTGATTTACATGAAAAATCTTTTAAACAAACTTCACACTGATATGGTTTCTCTCCTGAATGAATTCTCATATGTGCTACTACATGTGATTTTCGATTAAATTGCCTTTGACACTCTGAACACTGATATGGTTTTTCTATGGCATGACCCATCATGTGTTGTACAAGATCAGATTGTAATGCAAAGTACATCAGACACCTTGAACACTGATAGGGTTTCTCTACTGAATAAGCTTTCACCTGTCTTAACAAACTTGGTTTATGTCTGAAATCTTTTAGACACTGCGACCTCCATAAGTTATCTTCCCTATTATCTTCCATTATGTACTGTAGGCTGAGGTTTATCATAACAATATGTTAGATATGAATATGTGTGTTATATCCTGATAACACTCAAATATTTCTTTGACCGATACACTTTTTTAATTGAACTAGGCACATTGTTATGAATATAAACTCTCTCCTCTATGAACTTTTAGGCATTTGTTCTCGCGTAAGTTGCCTGGTTATTTACATCAAATACATTTCTCAAAGTTAATTTTTAGGATATACTGAAGAGCTTGACTTCCATGAAAAATATTCCACCATATTTATCTGGAAAAAATTAGATAATGAACAATAACAAAAATTATTTGTGCTAACTCTCAATTATCTTAGAACCATGAATATGTGAACTATTACACGGTTTTTGCATAACATCAACATATAAGCTACATTTCCTGTAAGATATAGCTTTCTAGATAAAGGCTTAGTACAACTTCAACTCCATCAGCTACAGTCTCCCCTGGCTTGGTGCCTTCTTTTGATAATTACTTTACTATACAACTCCATCAACATGTTGTGGATAGTGAACAAGTCTCTTTTTGAAAGAATTTTTATAAGCTCATCTGTAATGTATTTTAAAGACAATTTTTACCCTCAAATATCAAATAAAATATGCTGAGTTTTCACTGTGTCATAGTATGTACAGATTACTATACAAGAGCTTAAGTTAAAAATGTCCAACATTCTCAACAATATCAATCAAATATCTATGTCTTACATTGAACATGAAATAATCAAATATGAACAATCAGCAAGAGTGAGTGTGAATGTCCATATAATACTTCACTTCCCTTGATGGCAGGGTGAGCTACAGCACACTAGCTGCTGATGCTGCACTTCCCTTGATGGCAGGGTGAGCTACACCACACTAGCTGCTGATGCTGCACTTCCCTTGATGGCAGGGTGAGCTACAGCACACTAGCTGCTGATGCTGCACTTCCCTTGATGGCAGGGTGAGCTACACCACACTAGCTGCTGATGCTGCACTTCCCTTGATGGCAGGGTGAGCTACACCACACTAGCTGCTGATGCTGCACTTCCCTTGATGGCAGGGTGAGCTACAGCACACTAGCTGCTGATGCTGCACTTCCCTTGATGGCAGGGTGAGCTACACCACACTAGCTGCTGATGCTGCACTTCCCTTGATGGCAGGGTGAGCTACACCACACTAGCTGCTGATGCTGCACTTCCCTTGATGGCAGGGTGAGCTACAGCACACTAGCTGCTGATGCTACACTTCCCTTGATGGCAGGGTGAGCTACACCACACTAGCTGCTGATGCTGCACTTCCCTTGATGGCAGGGTGAGCTACAGCACACTAGCTGCTAATGCTGCACTTCCCTTGATGGCAGGGTGAGCTACAGCACACTAGCTGCTGATGCTACACTTCCCTTGATGGCAGGGTGAGCTACACCACACTAGCTGCTGATGCTGCACTTCCCTTGATGGCAGGGTGAGCTACAGCACACTAGCTGCTAATGCTGCACTTCCCTTGATGGCAGGGTGAGCTACAGCACACTAGCTGCTGATGCTACACTTCCCTTGATGGCAGGGTGAGCTACACCACACTAGCTGCTGATGCTGCACTTCCCTTGATGGCAGGGTGAGCTACAGCACACTAGCTGCTGATGCTGCACTTCCCTTGATGGCAGGGTGAGCTACACCACACTAGCTGCTGATGCTGCGCTTCCCTTGATGGCAGGGTGAGCTACAGCACACTAGCTGCTGATGCTACACTTCCCTTGATGGCAGGGTGAGATACACCACACTAGCTGCTGATGCTGCACTTCCCTTGATGGCAGGGTGAGCTACAGCACACTAGCTGCTGATGCTACACTTCCCTTGATGGCAGGGTGAGCTACAGCACACTAGCTGCTGATGCTGCACTTCCCTTGATGGCAGGGTGAGCTACACCACACTAGCTGCTGATGCTACACTTCCCTTGATGGCAGGGTGAGCTACAGCACACTAGCTGCTGATGCTGCACTTCCCTTGATGGCAGGGTGAGCTACACCACACTAGCTGCTAATGCTGCACTTCCCTTGATGGCAGGGTGAGCTACACCACACTAGCTGCTGATGCTGCACTTCCCTTGATGGCAGGGTGAGCTACACCACACTAGCTGCTAATGCTGCACTTCCCTTGATGGCAGGGTGAGCTACACCACACTAGCTGCTGATGCTGCACTTCCCTTGATGGAAGGGTGAGCTACACCACACTAGCTGCTAATGCTGCACTTCCCTTGATGGCAGGGTGAGCTACACTACACTAGCTGCTGATGCTGCACTTCCCTTGATGGAAGGGTGAGCTACACCACACTAGTTGCTGATGCTGCACTTCCCTTGATGGCAGGGTGAGCTACACCACACTAGTTGCTGATGCTGCACTTCCCTTGATGGAAGGGTGAGCTACACCACACTAGTTGCTGATGCTGCACTTCCCTTGATGGAAGGGTGAGCTACACCACACTAGTTGCTGATGCTGCACTTCCTTTGATGGAAGGATGAGCTACAGCACACTAGTTGCTGATGCTGCACTTCCCTTGATGGAAGGATGAGCTACAGCACACTAGTTGCTGATGCTGCACTTCCTTTCATGGCAGCAGGGTGTTCATACTAAATACTAAGTGCATCTGATGTGTGGGTTGATCTTTACTAAAACGAGTGTTAAGATTTGAACACACATGTACACTTACTACTGAGGGCGTGCCTGCAAGACTTGGTACTGTATATTGGCGAGCTCGAAATTGTCAAACGTTGACATGGTGCACACAATACACTTTACAATGATGTACGCCTTACCACGTTCAGTGATGACACTACATGATGAATTCCATTTTTGTCACAGGAGCTTTCAACACTGGTTATTGGCACATCAGGTGTTCTTCTTGCTGCGTAATGATGAGCTGTAATGGAAAAGATGAGTGATGAAAACTTATCTTCAAAACCTTTCTGCTAAAATACCTATATTATGCCTGACTGTTAATAAGCTAAAAGGATTGGACATTTGACATGTACATTAACTAAGATTCATTCCTTTGCTATAAGGCTTTCAGCCACAGTTCTTTTAAGTGTGAGTCTGATTACTTTGGCAATACCACATATAAATACATATAATAATAATGTTCGTTTAATGAGCTAGAAAATACCTCCAGATATTAAACTACCATTGAAACTTATATTTTGATGTATCGAATCTCAATCTGACAAAGTAGCAGAATGCTAGACAGCTCAGAAAGCTCATGAGCGAAGACAACAAAGCCTCGCTTGGAAATAGATGAAAGATGAATTTCACCTACCACAATTCAAGCAATTTGATCCAAAAGGACCCCCCTGCCAAGCCCCTAAGGAAAAGAAAGGGTCGTCAGCTAGCCAGGATGAACCCAAGACCTCATGCTGCAACCAGTAAGCAGAGACAAACTGATACTCAAGAGAGGCAGGGTCCAGCATGGAAAAAAAAAAAAAAGTCTGCATTCTGTAGGAGGTACTGAAGCAAATTCCCTTGGACTATAGAAGACACAGCAGTGAAGATGGAACCTCCAAAAGAAAGACAAGACTTAATAAATAACTTAACCCTGTGGATGACCTCAGAGACCCGTACCCGTGAACAGAGAAGAAGGGAAACCGGATCAACCCAAAGCGTGTCCCCGGACACAGAAGGTGTGGCGTGCAAATAACGGCGAAAGGCCGCATCCGTACACAACATAGGATGCACCCCCAGCCTGACCAACCAAGCATTGGTTGGAGGGAACCTTTCTGGAGGTGATCCAAGGACCTCTCTGGAAAGCAGCAGACTCATACCTCGCCAGAAAAGAACGAGGCAGCCGCAAACAAACAAGACAGAGCTTCGGAAAAACAAAATTGAACCGAAGGGACTACAACAAACCGAGGCGAAGACAGAAATGAGAGCACACCATCCAAAAACCAGGACGGCACAGGCCAACAACGCCCGAGACAGCCCACACAATGGGGCAGAAGGAATATCAAAAGAGAAAGCAAACTGGCGGAGCCGCTACGGCTCCGCCAGTGCCGCACGAGACAAGATGACAGTATGTGTCAAGACAGCAGTCCCAAACCCTCACGAGAGAAGGACAAGACCACGTCGACAAAAACCGCAGGATACCTATTGAAGAGACAAAAAAAAGGTAAGGACCGCCAGCAAAACCCCATACCGCCACCCGATCACCAAAGATGGTGAGAGACTAGTCAAAATTACCAGACTGGAAGACTCGAGAAGACCAAATCAGCCCCGATATGGACTGGAGACCGATCATTAGAGGAGGCGGAGCTAGGTTAAAACCACTGGGTTCTGACACTGAGCAAGCAGCGACCGAAACCAAGGCTGGCAAGGAGTCAGAAGGAACATCCACCAGGGAACCAGGAACCCAAACCCGGCGAGCCCGGAAAGAACTAACCTGGGCGAGCAGATCTGCCCCATCTGGGAGGAACCTCCCCCTCCACCAGGACCCTGAAAGGACCAACAAGGCCTATAACGGATGACAACGAGAAGCAGCAGCTTGCCGAAAGAGCCAAACTGTAGACTCTGCAAACAGCAAGGACAAAATAGTGATGATAACCAAAGAGCCAGGGCCTAGGCAGAAGCCAACGAGTAAGCGAGCACTACGAGCCAATACGTGAGACACGAAGCGAAAAACAGCGACACCGCAACCCGCAGGAGCAGTGCAACCAGCTCTAGCAAGGCAAAACAACGCATGCGAAGCAGAGGAACAGATGAGAGAACTACCCAGGACGTGTACCGCACCATGGCAAAAATGTACTATCCGGCAAAGGAACATATGGAATAAGCCGTAGCCAGGGCCATAATCCTAGCTCCCCCTGTCCCAACAAAGAGGAATAGTAGGGAGCAGAAGCGGATGATTGGAACCTACAGCCACCAGCAGACATTGCAACACAGAAGCTGGTAGGGACACACAAGAAGATGAAAGAAGTCAGTTCTACAACTAAAGAGCGGGGCTGTCCAATCGCAGGGAACTGAACATGTACACAGTCCAACTTAGCACCAACACTAGTATAGCCAATAAGCACATACCAAGGCACACAACAATGTGTAGCATAGAGGTAGGAAATGCAATGAAAATAGAATGTACACGATCAAGTAAAAATACACACACACTCCAATGTATACATAGAGTGCAGCCAGGCACTTAACGATGGCCAAGGAAGGAGTGTCTATAAGCAAAGAATGAGTCAAGGAATGAGTGTCCTTCTGATGTTCCATGGAACCCTTCCCCACACACAGGCCTTAGCCTTGGGCTGAGGAGCATTGATTTAAGCACATAGGAAGGCCACGTTAAGATGCACGCAAAGTGGCCAATCAACACGCCACAAACATCACCCAACACTCATCCAAAAACCAAGAACCAGCACCTGGCTAACAGTGTCACCACACCTAACAGTGTCCCCACACCACACCACGCGTACACACTATTGTGTAACAACACAGCTGAGCCGTGTAATATTCCGGGAGCAACGTTAGTGGATCATGTCCAGAGATGCGTGAACCGTAGAAGATGAGGTGTAGTGTAAAGGTGGAGTCGGCGCCACTCCAAGCCACCCCACACCCATAAAAGCAGAGAAAGAACAAAGTGTTCTCACCATATATAAAATCCAGAACTTCCCCAGTATCCAGGGGGGCTATGACTGGAGAGAAGACGAGCGAGAGCAGCGGAGAACCTGCGATAAAGGACGCCGGTCACCAACACATGTTTACACCGCACATAAACCAAAACAAACACCCTCAGTGTGCACCTGAAGACCGAGCTGCAACACCCAATCCTCGGGGAGGGTGCCTACAAGGTGTATTAAAAGAAGATTAGTAATGTCGAGACAGAGTTCAGAGATAAGAAGTAATGATCAAATAAGGAGATATAATATCAAAAAACGATAAGTAGTAAGGAAGAGGATCAATGGATCCTAGAAAGGACTGGAGGTAAGCCTCACCGGCAGATGACAGACGTTCCAATAATATTGGAAGAAACCAAGATCTTCCCAAACCTTCGAGACCATTGATACGCAAGCACAAAAGCACTGAGGCTCACATGGGCCCAATGGCATCCACGACCAATGGCCATGCAGGATCCCGAGACGATGAGAACCCGATTACGACATGACATAGAGGAATACATGTCCTAGAAAAGAAGGGTGAGAAAGTGGTAAAAACACCCACAGGAAGGACAGAACCGATGGACCCGAAGGGACAGAGAACCGAACCCGGGGAGGGGCCGACGCCCAAACTAAATCGTACAGGGGTACCTCGGTTTATGAGTTTAATCCATTCCTGGAGACAGCTCGTAACCTGAAAATTTGTAAACCAAAGCTGATTTTCCCATAAGAAATAATGGGAAATGAATTAATCCGTTCCTGACTACCCAAAAACCTCACTTCAAACTATATTTTATACCTAATTCACCCAAATCTACACTACAAAAGTATGTTCAAGTTATTACTTACCCTTGCTGATGACTGCTGTTGGCGTATGGAAGATGGTGAGGAGGGCGGAGGAGAGGTGTTACTGTTTGGAAGGGAAGTCCCCTTCCATTATAACATCAAGCAATGAAGATTTCTCTGGAGTGCACTCTCTGGCACGTTTTGCCTGCAAACCACTAGGTCCTGGTTGTGGCTCACTGCTTGATTTTCTCACTTTTCTCACAAGGAAACATTCCATTGAAGATTGTTTTTTTCCTTCTTTACAACACTTGTCTGTAGTGAGGCATCACATTGTCATTAAAAAGATCAATGCAATGGCCTACTACAGCTTTGTCTGGGTGATTCTTTTCAGCAAAACTTTGCAGTCTTTCCCATACTGCACACATTTTCTTAATTAATGAGGAAGGGACATTCTCTACTGATTCCTCTTCCTCCCTTGAAGATTTGTTGTACTGCCTAGCTAGTTCAACAATACGAGTACCATTTTCTTGCTTACGAATGATCTCTTGTTTTTCATCTATTGTCATCCTCACATGCGATTTCTTGCCTTGAACCTTACCACTGGCTTTCTTGGGACCCATTGTGAGATATATAACAACTTTTATGCTCAAATGGCCAAATATCCAACAAAGAACTTTAAATCCTTGAGAAGAATTGAGGCGGGATAGTCACTGGGCGCGAAGTACTGGTAAACTGAGGTGTGATCCCCGTGCCTCCACGCGCTATGTCGGCCTGTACACGTATCAACAAACTCATTACCCGATGCAAATTTTCCGACCAAATCGGGCTCGTAACCCGAAAAACTCGTAAACAAGGGTGCTCGTAACCCGGGGTTCCACTGTACTCAGAGGGGGGAATGAAAACCCCACTCCTTGTAATCTAAAGTCCCACCCAGAGGGTTGGAAAACCCAGGCGGGGTCCAACGGGGCCCCAAGGCCTCCAAGCCAGCCCTTCTCCAATCCCGGGAACCTCCATGTCAGGCCCCTGGGGCAAGTCGTCCTCCCAAGCCCCGGCCACACAAGAAAAAGCTGCGGCGACCAAAATAGCAGCAAGAGAATGGGCCCACTGGTCAGACCCCGGAGCTATGGCTGGAGGAACAGACTCGAATGCCTCCGACGCCACCCCAGAAGGAGTAACCCCCAAAACTGGCCGAGTCTCACAAACCTCTGAACCCTGCCCCGGCCCCGAAGCTCTCAAACACTTCGGAGTCGGAAGCAGGCGGGGTAAGACCCGAATGAGCCACAGCAGGGGAAGAAGGAGGGAGTGCATGCGGAACCAAGGCCGAAGTAACCAACACCCCCAAGTATGGTTCCCTATAAACAAAATGGGGCAGCCTCGGGGCATCTGGGGAACAAACAACCTAGCGCGCTGCAACCTAAACCTATCCTGCAGCACACGAGCCGCCTGCACCCGAAATGTCAAAAGCAGAATGGGTGAACCGAGTCACAAGAAAGCAACA